TATTTCCGTCATCCAATAAGTTTCAAAATGATTATTTCTGATTATCATACATATCATGCCATAAACAAGACGTGAGATGCTTTTACAAAGATAGAATATATTTCTTCATGAAATGCAATAACCATCGTATCAATCAGGATCAAATCAAATCAACAGCCTAATCAGACTCAAATCTCTTAATTAGTTAGCTAGTGTGATCAAACCATTTTTTCCCGCGATCCAATCAAATCCAAATCTGGTAATAAGAACAACAACTATAACACACTACATCTAAACAAAGCCTAAATGCACATGTATCAGATCTTCCATCAGTTCCAGGCCCGAAATATGAGAACTTTGTTGAAGCCCAAAACACTTACCCATATTGTATCTGTCATGCAGTCGGATGGATATTGTTAATTTTATTTAGTACGGGCCAATATTGTCAATAACACTTCTGATCCTCTCTGCCAGTCGCCTAAATTACTTAATAACCTACCCAACATCCATTCCACCATGCTTGGAGCCTTAGTATTGATTTTTGGATGCCAAGTTGTCAATGGAGGGGGTATTAATCACTGTTACTTGTTATTGATGGCGAATACAGTATCGTTTGCAAAAAAAAAAAGAGAGGATGTGGAAGCCTAATTTTGTTTACAATTACATCTATTAGAAAAAATAAGTGGAGTAAAATATATACTCCCTCCGATCCTTAATATAACGCATTTTGATTTGTTCTAGTTTCATCTATTATATATTTTTAATTGAAAAAAAAATTTTGAAAAAATATTTTCACATTCCTTGTGTTCTATTGATTGTTAGGAAAATATTTTTAAAGTTTTTTTATCAATTAAAAATACGTATTAAATGAATATTAGGACAAATTAAAATGATTTATATTAGGGACTAGAGAGAGTACATGTTAGGACAAAAAATCCCATATCGCCGTTGTGAAGGATCTGTCGCTTGTTTATAAGCTCCAAATGCTTCTCCATTCATTGTCAATTTGTTTTGAGATGGAAGTCCAATGTGGCTTTGACATGGTATCAGAACCCACGATCTGTGAACTTGTGATAACTATGGACCTATTGTGTGGGCTTGTGGACTGACCCGGCAGTATTCTGGGGAGTGAACCCGTGTGTACGGGCTTGTTGACTGACCCAGCAGTATATCCGGAGTTGCAGACTGACCCAACAGTATATCTGGTGAATTATGTTGTGTGGTGCAATCTCAATGGGCTAAATACCCCCATTAAGTTTGAGGGAGTGTGTTGGGACAAATAATCCCACATCACCGTCGTGAAGCATCTGTCACCTGTTTATAAACTCCAAAGGCTTCCCCACTCATCACCAATTGGTTTTGAGATGGGAGCCCAATGTGTCTTTGATAGAACATCATAAGTTTAATATTCCGTCCCAAAACGATTGTTTATTTAGATTTTCCCTTTTAGTATAATCGAATTAAGAAAATAAAATCTGGACTCGACAATTATCTCGGGAAGGAAAGAGTATATTATTACAACCTATATGTAATATGAATGAATGATCAAAATTTGGTAAATTTTAATATGATGAATGTAAGAGAAAATTCAATATAAGAAACTATTTTGGTGATTGCACTTCAATTGAAATTTCAAGGAACCGCGTAACACAAAGGAAGTAGTAAGGTATCTACATATATATAAGTCCTCAATGGCTAAATCATTTAAAGGGCCAATTTTGCAGGTGATGTGACAACGAGAAGAAAGAATGTTTCATTTCGGAAATTTTCCTTTCAACACTTCGAGCGTGATATCCTTTGAAAAGACATGTAAATGAAGCACAAAAAGAGAAGAAAGAGGCCCCAGATCAAAGCGGAATGGCTGCCTAGCATGTGACTCCCCACAAAGACCCCTCGTTGATTTTGCTTCTTAAGGTGGAAAGATATACTGGTTGTACTCAATTTCTCCAAGATAAGATTAGGTTTGCTGAAGAATCAGATTATATGGGTTCATCATAATTACTCTAGCCTTTTTCTAGTTTTCCTTTTCCTTTTCTTTTTCTCAACATTCACAATATCGAATTTTTTAGGTATCTATATTAGTACAAATTTGGTTGAAATGGTGATCAGTCAGTCAATCTACTATACTGATGAAGATATTGGTGCACTCATATTAGTGGCTTAAGAGAACCACATGTTACATTTTGATATAAGTTGTAAGTTTCGCCATGTCTTGAATTGTTCTGTCAACGATCTAAAGACTACGATTTTTTTGTACATGAATAGAAAATTGCGATCCAATAATTTTGATCACCGCCTGAACCGTTTTGTCAAAAACACAACATCTATGATTTCTTTTTTATTTTGTGTAATTAGTTTCCAAAACGTTGTAAGCAATGGAAGGCCAAAATCTTCATGTCATATCAACAAATTGTTTGATGAATTTGACATGATCATGTATTCGTTTGTTGCGAAACAAAAAGTACTTATTCTCTTTCCAGAAAATATGAAGTCCTCATAGTACTTCATCAGCTCAATCGGAAATGAATTCACTGTTTCCATGTGGTGCACTCATTTGGAATTCGGAGAAATGGTACCGACCCACTAACCTTTGTTTTTTTTGTTCGCACTTTCTTATTCGTTGGCCTCCAATCTTTTCGAAAAACAACTGTTACGGGAAGTGATATTTTTCAAATTCACAACTTAGGCAATGACAGAACTCATCCATTCAAATAAAATCTTCGGCTAAATATGTAACGGCATTGAGTTTTCGATTACAGATTCAAGCATTTCAATCTAAATTTTCACTGTAAAGAATGAATCACCATTTTATTTTCTATGAATATCATTAGGAATTCATCCTTTCTGCAAATGTAGATATGTTGAACAATCTAGACGTGTTAGAATTTTGATAACAGGGATTTTTCTCTCTTTCTTTTTGTTTTTATAATGTTTTCTGCAGGGCAAAAACATGATGAATGTGAAGAAAGGATGAATTCAAAAGGATATTCGTAAATTATACCCATAGATATAGCATTATAGGTTGCTTCAAATCTACCTATATGTAATAATAAAATGTAATGTAATTATATGAAACAACACGGTGTTAATTATTCAATATATTCAGCGATTGAGATTTCAGTTCAGCTTACTTATCTAATGTCATGTATATGTATAGTTCTTTGTAACATTAATGTAAAATTCGATATCTACTCACACTCCGGAATTCACTTTTTTCCGATTCCCTTTTAGTTATGTTCTACATAATAACCTATTAGGGCTTGAGATCAACAGGAAGTATTTAATAAACAGAGAATTTTAATCGATTCAAGGTATCATTCTAGCTCGTTTTATCGAAAATTTAGCACCTTCTTTTTTGTACATGAAGAGATGGAGTCCCGACTCAAAGAACGAAGGAATGAACACGCAAAGTGACGAGCTTCATGACGTGAAATGGATGAGAGATACAGTAACATGACTATGAACAATTGAGAGAGAGCTTTGAAATTCGATAGTCATAACTTGTGATCATTCATAAATTTGAAGAGGCCCATCATTTCAAGTACCTGCCATGAGATATGCGGCTACCATGACCCATAAGAAATCAGGTAAATGACATTACTGGTCTCTGAACTTCTCCTATACGTTACACCTTGTAGAGTTCAACCCAATTTTTTAGCTTCTTTTTCCATGAAAAAGTTAGAATTACTAAATGAAAATTAAATAAAATGTTATGTGTTCCTACGTCCTAGAAAAAATAGTTCACTTTATTGCATTGTTTTAATTTAATGAAAATGAACTTTTTATTTTATTTGTTTTTGGACAGAGGAAGTACAATGCAAAATGGATACTAACTTCAACTTGTTAGGGTACGTATGATTCAAAACATGGTGCTTCTCTCCGTGCCCCAAAAAAGGAGAAATTTTTAAGATTAAACTGATGAACTACACATATTGTCAATCGGTAATGGACCTGATGCACTACTAAGGGACTTGCGACAATTTTGGCTTCTTTTTAATTTTCTTCTCTAGTAACTTCAACTCTTCCTTCTTTTTTTTTCTTGTGAATAAAACTCTTATTTTGAGATCGATAAACTATATGATAACAAAAGGTTAAAACCTATACCAATCACATTTCACCTAACACGATCAGAAGGCAGAGAATGCAATCTGGTCCATTGTTAGTTCGTTACTACTTTTTCCACATGCGGAAAGTAGCATATAACGTATTCCTGATCAATTCTATCGATCGAGGGCCTATGCTGGATTAATTAGACATTGACTTTATCCAGCTTCTTGCAATGGAAAGAGCCGGAAATTAAACAGTGCTTAATTAATTAGGTCATGAAACTTCAATTCATAAGCCCGAATATTGTATCGAAACGTGAAATGACCGAGTATTAATATACATGGATAATCTTATTGTGGTGCTCATCAATCAACAAAAAAAAAACATAAAAGCGCAACAAGCACTATGAATTAATTAGAGTAGATTAACATCACATTAGATGAAATCGTGGATCATATTGCTGTAACCTGAATCTGAATTCCAACAACTCTGTAAAATATTCATGAGTTCATCAAAGTACTGTTCGACTTCGAGCATTTTCATCCAAAACCTTGTGGTGTATTCATTAATCCTAATAAATATTAACGATTAAATCAAAATAATCTGGGAAGAATGCCAGATGTAAGTGGGAAAAGGGACTAAAAATGAGTAGGAATTCCATTAAAATGACATCAAAGATGATGTAGGAAATCAATGGTCTTATTATCAGTATACGAATAATTAAAAAACTTTGATCAAATGTGGAAGACAGCAAAAAGCTCACTAGTAGGTCTTCCTCTATAGCAGTAACTTTGGAGTGAGAAGGCAACATTTCTGGTGGTGTGATTGTGTAATGGACCACTTTGTGGGGCTTAAAGGTTCTCATCTTACCATGTGCTCCGATCACTCTCGGCCCATTGACGCGTTTTCCGACCCCATTTCAATTCCTATATAAAGCCCATGACCCATTCCCTTTTCTTCATTCAACTCATTCCGATTTTTTTTCTTCTTTCTCAATATATCATCATGGGTAGTCGTAAGTTTCTTCATGTGTTTTGCTTTGTTTTGTTGGCTGTTGGCATTTGTTCTGCTGGCAGAACCCTAATTGCCAAGGAAGAAGAGGATGTTTCCGCCCACATTCATACTTCACTCACTGGTTATGAAGGTGTTGTGGCTGGCGGACACGGTGGCGGTGGAGGCTCCGGTGGTGGCAGCGGATACGTAGGTTCTAGTGGTTATGCAGGTGGAGAAGGAAGTGGAGGCGGAAGCGGCGGCGGATATGGAGGTGCTGGTGAACATGGTGGTGCTGGTGGTGGTGGAGCTGGTGGAGGAAGTGGTGGCGGAGGCGGTTATGCAGGTGCTGGTGGACATGCCGGTGGATATGGAGGTGGGGCAGGTGAAGGTGCTGGAGGTGGATATGGAGGTGGAGCTGGCGGACATGGCGGTGGTGGAGGTGGTGGTGGAGGAGGTGGAGGTGGCGGTTCTGGCGCCGGTGGGGCACATGGAGGTGGATATGGTGGAGGCGAAGGAGGTGGTGCTGGTGGTGGATATGGTGCTGGTGGAGAACATGGTGGTGCATACGGAGGTGGTGGTGGGCACGGTGGAGGAGGCGGTGGTGGTTCCGCTGGAGGAGCCGCAGGGGGTGGCTACGGAAGTGGAGGAGGAGCCGGTGGTGGTGCAGGTGGAGCTCACGGTGGAGCATATGGCGGTGGTGAAGGAGGTGGTTCGGGTGGTGGTGGAGGCTATGCCGCTGGAGGTGAACATGCTGGTGGATATGGCGGAGGAGCCGGCGGCGGCGAAGGCGGTGGGCATGGTGGCTATGCTCCTTGAATGCGGATGGAATCATATGATATTCCCCTTCCACAAATTATAAATATGTATTTTTCCCAAGTATTTTGAGAATGATTTCTTGAATACGTTTAAGCTGCTACTAAGGGCTAGGAAGATGCCTAGCTAAAATTATGTAGTTTGCATGCAATCAAACGTCAAAAATTGTGTAATGCATGCAAACAGCGGTCGAGAATCGCATTATTATTGTGTGCTGTTTTTTTCAATTAATCAAATCTTCAAATTATTGTAATATAATTGGTCCAATGGCTTTATTTTGACCTCTCCCTATAGGTTGCATGCATGCACAATCGCACCAATGAAAGCCCTTTGTTCAACCAGCACGAAGAAAATGAATTAATATTTCCCGCCCAAAGAATATGGCAGCAGTCAAGTTGCTTATTAGTTGAGCTTCATATTGTATGTATACTTGCATTATAGGTGATTAGAGACGTATGCATATATGCATATTTCGTGATGATTTAAGGTGACAAACTTTATCTTACTAATTGGCTTACAGAAGAGGTAACTCAAACCATGGGAATCACTAAAGTGGCCAATAATAAACGAAGAACCTTAAGATTTTTTATTTTTTGACTCGAAAATGCTTAAGATTGAATGAAAAGATATTTAAACAGTTATTCGTGTTTTCTAGTTTTTAGGTTTTATTACATCGATCTGATTCCCTGTATTGTATGTTAAACCACGTACAATTGATTCTCTCTCACACGCTCACACACAAACATACAGGGTTCTCTTGACCAAATGGTCCCGAGAAGTCAAAAAATGGAATTAACAGGACGACTAAAATTTCACCAAATTGTCTGATTTTGTTTGGGTAGATTGCGTCGAACTCCCCGATGTTTGTGTTGATTTTATTTGCAAATAAATAAATAAAAATTCGACGAACCCCTTTGCTCTTGCATCCCACAAGTTATAACGTTAATTAGCCTAGATTCGGCAGCATAGAATTGATTAGTTTCACCCTTCTATGAAGGGTGGATCATGTCTTTTGTTGGTTAGTTAGTTTACTTCAAGTGTATACATTTTATTTGTTCATTTTTTTCGAGAGACACCGACTAGCTTTTAACCAGTCCATTCTCGATTGGATTGTGAATACTTGATTACAAGAAACAACTAAACCCCTAAAAAACTTTTGGAAGTAATCTCCAACCTTCTCATCTATTGTTTGACCAATTCCAGCTTTATTTTATTTTTATTTAATTACTATAATAGTTTTTTTTTTTGTTTTTTCGAAGCCTACTATAATAGTTCGAAATGCCTGGTTAATTATCAATCGAACAAATTACATCAATTTCAAGCCATGGTCTAAGGCCTGAAAATGGATCAACAAGCAGATCACATCATTTCGACTCTCCACCGCCAAAGAAATCCACCTCATAAAATACATAATTAGTTTCCATCATCCATGCCCTTTACTAAACTGTATTTTATTTCCTTTCTCGTTTAATTTAATTTTTTTTTAATACAATTTGTATTATAAATTGAAACTCCAGACTGTATCTTGGATGGAACTTGAAAGGAGTATATCTTTAAATTTGATAGTTATTCTAAAACTCAAAAATGGGCAAAGTCATAATGTCGATTGGTTATTTGAATTTTGAAAGTAGCAAAATTGCAAATCATTGATGTGAATAAGAGATTGTGGAGGAGATTAAAATGAGCGCGCGCATTTATGAGAGTGGAAAATGAAAAATCAAACTAAAGTACCCTAAGGAGACTAGCAGAGTAATATATGTGGAAGAGGAGGTAGATACGTTAATTAGAACTCTCAAACACTATAATTTGAGTCTTGAGACAGATGATGATGGCAAATCATGAATGTAGACTTGTACTAAAATTCTAACATTAAGGTTCTACTTAACTTGATATAATCCCCACTACTTCATGGCTAAGGATAAAAAGAAATTTCAAGAATGAAGGAATTTGTAAAACACTGATTTCAAGATTGGAATTTAGTTTTTCAAAATCACTGTTCTTGAAGACAATTTATTCTTCTCATGTAACGAATAGTGTTTGGATTTTGGAAACAAACACTACTAGGGCACTTGTAAAAGTAGTACTCCTTCCGTCCCATAATTATTGTCCAGTTTGAATTTTCATTTTTAGTTAAAATTATACTAAAAGTGATATTTTTAACTGGATAATAATTTTGTGACAGAGAGAGTACAAATTAAACCAATAAAAATCGAACAATACAACCAATTCATGGACCCAAACCCATAAAAAATGGTGGGTTTCTAGTGTCTTTTCTTCCGGCACAAATTTCCATCAATCTTTGACATTAGCCGGTACAATCTTATGTAATACAATTGTTGTACCGAGGAACATTTTTCTCCAAAAACAGTTAGGGGATAGCTTTAGAAATAAAATTTGGGTCCCCCTTATATGGGTGCTTAGTAGTCAACAATATTTAGTGATCAATTGTCTCCGACACATAAACCAAATCGCTTTAAAAGTTTGTTTGTGGTGGTAGATTCTACGTTGACTTAAGTGCAAAGAGGAGATTTTGGTGAGGTATTGAACAAGGCAATTCCCAGAAAGAAGACAAGGAATAACACCTTATGGGATATATCTTTAAAAAAGATAAAGAATAAAAAAAGAAGATAATGACGGGGTAACTTTCTACAATTTTTAAATATGGAATGGAAGCCGCTGTTTACTGTGAATTCATGGTATTGTTCCACCTAAAACAAAGCTCACATAATGTCCAGTTCCAATCTTGATAAAGTGAAAATTGACGATTTAGTTAGGCTAAACAAGGCAATGCTAAGAGGGCAAGAAGATAAATTTTCTGCAAAATTTTAAATTTGTTATGACTTTTGGGTTATTTAATACTTAACCTAAATCCATCAGTAATCTACATAGATTAACTCGTTTTGCTTGTTTTTGGAGCTTCAAGTGTTACAGGAAATTGCTTTAACCAACAAGTAATTAGTCTAGATTATAAAAGTATTTGGTTAATTAATTAGTTCAACTATACTCCCTCCATTTCAAAATATAAGTCATTTTAAATTTTGTACGTAAACTAAAGAGACAATCATTCAAAAATTAATTTATGTATTAAATATTTATTTTATCCCTAATTAATTACATTGAAATTTTAAAAAAGACTAAATGAAAATAGATTGACATTATTTACTGAGAGTAAAGTTGGAAAAATAATCATTAATTTACCTAAAATTTGTAAAACAATCTACATTTTGAAAAATTTCTCCCAACTTAAAACGACCTATAAATTGAAATGGAAAGAGTATTAATTAAGGTTTAAATTTTGAGAGGCAGATATTTGTCTTTCGAAAAGGACTTATCGGCCAGATTTGAATTTGTCGAAGCAATAGACCCGAACTTCATGAGTGTAATGTACAATATCAATGTGTATGTATATATTCACAGTGACATAATGACGCTGACTGTAACGAAAGATTAATGTTTCAGTGGGAAAATCAATGTACATTCACAATGACCAAGTACTACCAATGATAAGACTAACATGGTACTCCCTCCATTTCAAAATAAGTATCGTTTTAAAAAAATGGAGAAATTTCAAAATAAGTCTCGTTCGCATATTTCAATGCATTTTTTGTCTAAAGTTTCCAAAATTACCCTCGAAAGAATTAATACTATTGGTGGACATTTTTTTAGTGGGGGTGGTTGAGGATATTCAAGTAATTTTGTTATCCTATTTAAGAGTTTCTTAATCTATGTGCAAAGTGTAAAACGATACTTATTTTGGAATGGAGGGAATAGGAAGTTAGGGCATTTAATTGTCAGTGCGATTGAGAAGAAGATAACAAAATTAATAAAGGCGCAAACTTTCTTGCAATTTTAGGTTTTGAACTTTTTCAACCGACAACTAATTTCGTGCTCGGATTAAATGTTTGCTCCAAAAAAAAAAAAAGAAAAAGAAAAAAAGAGATTCAAATCTTTGAGGCATGAGACCAAAATACGAGTTAAGAGAAAACAATAAATAATAAGGAGCTACATCTCATCTGCAAACTAAAATCTTTCATGTTACTATCATGAGTTGAAATTCTTGCCAAAATTGAATACAAAATAGATGTATTACGCCGACAAGTAATATGTCACTTTGCCAGCTTTTTACCATGCAGCTGAATAGTAGATAAAAAGATTTTCTTGATTAAATTCCACAAGTGTGACGTCCTAAATTAATCGCTCCACCGCGTAAACGGATGCCAACAAAATGTCCATGTGCTATAAATTCATTGGCGTACTTCAATCCAATTCAATTTATTGGATTTGTTTGTCTAACTCTAGCGTCGATATACATCTCTTTTTCCATATTTTATACTTTGGAATTCACAAGATAAAATATCAGCACGAATAAGATGCGGAATCATTAAGCAGTTAGGATATCTTAAGCCTCATATTATAGATTACGAACCAAAATAATAGTCACGTTAATTTATTACATTGTAATAATTGAACAAAAACTTTTTTTTTATTATATACAATAAAGAAGGCTAAAGACTAAATAACAATTACATTATGGAGGTGGATATTCTCAACGAATTCCATCACATATGTGGGAACAAGAAATTGCACTATCACAAGAATACCTCCCAAAAAATACAAAATGATACTCTTTCACTATTTAACTTGTTCGAAACAAATCACTTGAACATTTCAAACGATTGAACTTATGAGGAAATATTGATTGAGATTGGAGGCCTAAACCTCAAAGGCTACTTGACTTTGTTTTGGTGTCCCATGGCATATGAATACATGAAATGGCAGTTTCTCATAAAGCTATAAAATTATGCGATGTAACCGCCAGCTCAAAACTTTATTTTCAAAGAACAGAAACCTGCAAATAAAGAGGAGAATAAAGAAAAAAGGCTTAACTAATTTCCACCGACAGGGCTAGTGGTTAAACAGTTACTAAGACAATAATATCATCCCCTTTACCATTTGCAAGATAAACAAATGTTATAAGTTTAAAATGTCACCGCTAAATATTCAACTTTTTTTTTTCTTTTGGGTCATCAATTATCATGCATGAAATGGTCAAAACTCTCACGTAGGATAAAGAAACCCACGTTAGCTAAGATGGATCCATGCATATGATATGTTACGTACGTACATATATACACACATCAATAATAATATCATAATCCAGTTATACAATTTGACCCTTTGATCTTCTAAGACTTGTGCTCCTCATAAATGCCAGCAAATTCCACACTATAATGATCAGTTTATTTAGGCATATAAATGAGCACCAAGATTTGAATAGAGTAAGATTGAAAGTGACTGGAAAATCGGTGTGTGTATCTTTCTGTGCCGAATTTGCAAAATCAAAACTGTGGGGCACCATCAATCAACCATTTCTTTGCATGTGCATTCTTTCAACCACTCCTCTTAATTGTTTTCGTACACTGTTATTTTCCAATCTGAATTCCCTATAAATACCCTTCCGTTCTTTGCATTCAGGACAACGGGCTCCCAGATTTTCTTTCTTTTTTGTTTCAAACTTCCACTATGGCTAACCGGAAGGTTTTAAGCTTTCTTTTTCTTGTGGTTTTGGGTATCAGCATTGGTGTTGAATGTAGGTCACTCCTCACGTTTGGAGGTGGCGAAGGGTTTGGACATGGTGGTGGCGTTGGAGTCGGAATAGGCGGCGGTGGTGGTTATGGAAAGGGAGGTGGTATTGGAGGTGGTTATGGCGGAGGAGCCGGAGGCGGTGCCGGTGGTGGATATGGAGGTGGTGTTGGAGGAGGAGGAGGAAAAGGAGGTGGTATTGGAGGTGGTGGTGGTTATGGCGGAGGCGCTGGAGGTGGCGTAGGCAGCGGTGGTGGTTACGGCGGTGGAGCTGGAGGCGGTAAGGGAGGTGGCATTGGAGGTGGTTACGGCGGAGGTGCAGGAGGCGGACATGGAGGTGGTGTTGGAGGAGGATATGGCGGAGGTGCAGGTGGCGGTAAAGGAGGTGGTTACGGCGGAGGTGCTGGAGGCGGACATGGAGGAGGAGTTGGAGGAGGATATGGCGGAGGTGCCGGTGGCGGTAAAGGAGGTGGTATTGGAGGTGGATACGGCGGGGGTGCTGGAGGCGGTAAGGGAGGTGGTGTTGGAGGTGGATACGGTGGCGGTGCAGGAGGCGGTAAGGGAGGAGGAGTTGGAGGAGGTTATGGTGGTGGTGCTGGAGGAGGAACGGGTGGAGGTGCAGGAGGTGGTTACGGCGGAGGTGCCGGAGGCGGTAAGGGAGGTGGTGTTGGAGGAGGATATGGTGGTGGTGCCGGAGGAGGAGCCGGTGGAGGTGCAGGAGGTGGTTATGGCGGAGGTGCCGGAGGCGGTAAAGGAGGCGGTATTGGAGGTGGTTACGGTGGGGGTGCAGGAGGAGGTAAGGGAGGTGGTATTGGTGGAGGTGTAGGAGGTGGTGGCGGTTACGGTGGAGGTGCCGGAGGCGGACACGGAGGAGGTATTGGAGGAGGTTATGGTGGTGGTGCCGGAGGAGGAGCCGGTGGAGGTGTTGGAGGTGGATATGGCGGTGGTGCTGGTGGAGGATATGGAGGTGGAGCCGGTGGTGGTTCTGGCGTGGGAGGCGGATACGGTGGTGGTGGTGGTTACGGAGGAGGCAGCGGCGGCGGCGGCGGTTATTCCCCTTAATCAAGGGACCAGTGAGCCCATCCTATTCATTTGCTTCCTAAGCATATATATATATTATTATCAGTGCATTCTACTAAGAAAGAAGTGTTGCTTCAGTATTTCATCATCATGTGAGTTTTTCATTTTCGGTCGATCGATCAATGTATTTCAGCTCTCAATAATGCTACGGGGAGAGTTTTGTTGTGTAACTTTTGCTGGTCCGACTATCTTTGTAACCCTCGTTTTCAATATATGTATGTATTTGCTTTCTTCTTCTAATTAATGGAAGTTTGCTATTTCCGTATATTACTACTCTAATTTGATCCTTAAATTTCTGTTTGCATGCATGGGCTCTTGGTACTCACTACATATATGACAAGCTTGGAGGGTTTTGAACTAATGGAAACTGACTCACCCTTACTTGAGAATTAAGATTCTGCGTTCACGCACAAAAACATTGGTCCCATATTCTCCCATTTCTAATTTAAAATTAAGACTCTTGAGATTGCAATCCAAAAAATTCGGTGGTTATAGTTTGTCACCTCAGTTTTTGTCCCATTCATAACCTTTGATTGCGCCTCGAAATTTAAAAGCGGCTATGCATCATCTTTCTTGCCTTCAATTACAGGCAAATAGTTCCTTTGGCCAACGTCAGATAAAAATTAATTGGAACGATAGCTAGAAGATTAGTTTGGTTTTTTGCGCAAGAATGTCTTCTTTGTTTTTCAATTGACCTGTTTTTACGTACATCCCCGTACGTCAAATGAGCATTATGCAAAACAGACTACATTCAAGCATGCATCACAAAGAAGTTGAGCTGTTCAAGAAAATCGTTCGTGTTCATTTTCCAAACCGTACAACGTTGTTAAAGGACTTCAGCATATTGGAGAAGGAGAAAGATCAAGGAAATGTTACTTCAAAAAAAATAAAAAAAAATAAAAAAATCAGATCATCTAAGACATATATACTGAAACTAGTCAGACACCCCACTAATTTGGTGACTTCATTCTATTTACATTGCAAAACAATGTACGAATTTTTTTAGAGTAATATACGTACAGAGAAAATTTACAAAAAAGACTTACGAGGAATGAGTTGTCAATCATCTAAATTATGCCATAATCTTAAATGCTTAAACTCTAAATAAAAAGTGTTAAAAATGAATGGTCATGATCAATTCCTTGTCATTTTTTTCCTGTACGAATCATTATTCATTTTTTTTTTTCAATACAATTATGCCATTTAATTTAAGAGATACTCCTTCTGACTTTTATTATAAAGTATATGATGTCTTTTGTTCCCTTAAAAAAACAAGAAAGTACAGCTGACGGGGTATTCCGCCGATCTTGTAAAAGTAAGAAAAATACATCGATAGAGAGTGCTTAAAATTCATTCAATAAACTAAACCATGGCCTTATAAAGATTTCCATTTAAACTTAGGTGGTTTATTGTGAGTAAGAAGAAAATTACTACTATAAAATTAGGCTCTTTTTGGTGCAAACATAAGGATTGGATTCGGTGCCAAGAGTAGTAACCCTCGAGCTTTGGATGAAAGATCTCTAAATTTGTGGAACCGTTGCGGATTTCAGAGTGGGAGCTCTTTTTCGGGGGAAAAAAAAGAAGAAGAAGAAGTTGGAAGCTAAACATACAAGACAAACCCACCACACTATTTGCTTCTCCATAGATATATGAGTAATAGCGCGCAAGAACATCACCGAATGATTGCTGAAATTTCATGACTATTCGGAGACCAATTTCCTTGGAAAATCGATCGATCTCCTAATCAAATCTACCAATATTTATCTGTCTGCAAAAGGCCATTGATCATGCTCATTTCTCTACAACTTTTTGATCCGCGGAAAGTACCTTAAGTTTTAACAAAAAATTATCATCGACATCTAAGTTCTTGCATTCTGCAAAAGTAAATACCAAAAGCACAACCAATCACAAAAGCACCTCCAAATTTGTCAGGAGAGTTAAATGTCGATCCATCCAAATTCATTATGAATTATGAAATCAAAAAATCCAGCAATCGTTCGTTTCGGTATGGTGGTTCCATTTATAGTGTAATCTCAACTTTAACTTGATTTAAATGGATTAATCTTTAATTGGATTAGTATTTTATGTACTTCTTTTTGTTATTTTTGTTAAGAATTGTGGAGACTTTTTAACATGGATAATGGAAGTAGTTCAATAATTTTCTGAAAATATAACTGATCTTGAGCTAGCTAAAGCGCCACCACATTTAGGGAAGGAGGGTAGAATCTGCGCTTTGAACTCTTCGTATTTTGCAAGATTATATTGCTTTAAATCGGCCAGCCTCTCTCATGTTCACCAATCACCATGTTACATGGAACTTTTTCGGCACACAATTAAGAATTCTATGTAAATCATGTCATAGTGCCTGTTGTTAACCCAATGAGTCATCAGCATCCCAAACTTCATTTCAAGACACAGAGAACATCATATTTTGACTTAAAGAGATTTTCTAATTATCAATAACAATTCTCAGCGAGTCTAAATCTGGTCTTCAATCGCATCATCCATTTCTGACCCTCGAGGCCTCGACATCTCCTTAATAAAACGATACCTAAAAGCTGATAACTAATCTACTGTCTCTGTCAGATAGTTGGTTTAGTTGGTTTAGTACAACAAAATAACATGATATTCTTTTCAGGACGGAATGAGTAAAATTTTTTCGAAACCAAAAAACGAAAGAATGTAGGAATTGCGTGACGAAGCATGGATTTGTACGGTGCTTAGGACGGGCGGCGATGATGATTTAGACGGCGGCGGACAGCCTAAAACCTGCAAGACAGAGTCTCGGGTGTCTTCCGAGGGTAGACTCTCCGATACTTAAGTCAATAAGGAAATAGAGATAATAGAGAGAGAGGGATGTGTGTCGTGTGTAGAAGGTGTAGAAGGTGTAGAAGATAGGTAGAAGATATGTATTATGGGAGAGACACCACCTCTTTATATAGAGGTGGTGTTACCTGTTTCCTGAAACCTAGTCGTATTAGGTTTAGGCGGTGACTTAATCTCCAAGTAACCTAATCCTCGGCCCAATAGGCCTAGGGTTAATTTATGACTCGTCAAGTGCCCCTAGTAAGCCATATTCTCGAGACTTGATGAGAAGAATATGGGTTGCTATGAGTGTTGATGTTTCCTCAAGTTTCGTAGTGTTGCCCCAGTTCTCGAACTCTTTCGTTCTCAGGTGTCACCTATATAAGATAAAGAGAAATAGAATGCCTCGAGGAGGTCTTTTGTGTTAGAGAGTTCCTTGGTTGCGCGGTGGACCGCGAGTGTCCTTGTTTGCGCGATGGACTGCGAGTATCCTTGTTTGCGCGGTGGACCGTGAGTGTGTAGATCATTGAGATGCAATATAAAATAATAATGACATGTAGTAATAAGATGCTCCTAAGGAATATCCGTTCAAGCAGAGGATGTTAGGATGATCTCTCAAGTTCCTTGCCCCTAGCGTTTTTTCCAATTTGTGCCCTGAGTACGTTTTTCTCGTTGAAGGCAACCCCGAGGTGATTTTCCTCATTGCAAGGTGATGGGATTTTTCCCTAGAGGGTTGGTTTCTCGAAAGATTCCTTTGATCGTGCTCAAAAAGATATCGTGATATGATAGTAATATGATAATGATATTAGATATTAAAGCATGAAAAGGTTTTAGAACTACCTCGATCTTGTAATTAATTGATTATTTGAGAAAGTGTTACCTCGATTCCGAGAAGGTAGTAGTTGAGTAGCTAAAAGTCGAGATACGTCTTCTCGAACACTTCGAGTAGTAGTAAGGTGCTCGAGGGATCCTTGCTAATTGTTCTTCTTGATCAGCTGTGGAGCGAGTGTAGCTCCTCGATTATCTGTGAAATCGAAAGTTTCTTTGTGCTACTTGTCGGCTGACGTCTTCTTGGCCAAACAAAGATAATTTTTTGCGTGATCTTCTAGTTACAAAATCGGAGCAACGAATTAACACCGTGGCTGTGAAAGATACAAAAGATTCGTGCTTCGCTAAGAAATTTATTTGGTTGTAAGGACCAAACAAATCGGTCCCACCGGGCGTGCCACTTGACGAAGCATGGATTTGTACGGTGCTTAGGACGGGCGGCAATGATGATCTAGGCGGCGGTGGTCGGCCTAAAACCTGCAAGACAGAGCCTCGGGTGTCTCCCGAGGGTAGACTCTCCGATGCTTAAGTCAATAAGGGAATAGAGATAATAGAGAGAGAGGGATGTGTGTCGTGTGTAGAAGGTGTAGAAGATAGGTAGAAGATATGTATTATGGGAGAGGCACCACCTCTTTATATAGAGGTAGTGTTACCTGTTTCCTGAAACCTAGTCGTATTAAGTTTAGGCGGTGACTTAATCTCCAAGTAACCTAATCCTAGGCCCAATAGGCCTAGGGTTAATTTATGACTCGTCATTGCCCATCGATCATTACAACAGAGTGTTGCATGAAGACCGCTTATGATTGCCTCAAGCGGAAGCAAAATTTAATGGATACCCCATCTCGGTTATGGTGGATCGGATCAATTCCTATCCATAAGCTTAATTTGTAATTCATCACCAAGTTGGCCTCTTTAGTTGATTTGTTTGGATTTGATAGTCCTCGGTGTTAAAGATAATAATCATAAGAAGAGATCATCAATAAGAGAAGTTCTTATTTACTTTATGAGTTAGTCTTAATAGATAAGGGCTGAAAAGATATTTGTTGAATAGTTGATAGATATAGATTTTTCATAATTATTTAATTGTGAAGAAAGTCTATAAATTTAATTTTTATCTCAGTCTTAGGAATTCAATTTAGTCACAATGTAGTCTTTCAATTTATCTCCCATTAATTTACTTATTGTTTTTCAAATTCTCATTTTCTTCTTGGTATTAGAGCATGTTTCGCCCTTCTATAGCTTTGCTTACGTTTTTTTTTTTCTTCAAGAAATAAATCACTCCTCTTCTATTCACATCTATGTTCCATGTCCTCGTATATTACCATTTTTTTCTTTCAAGAAATAAGTCACTACTGTTATCCCATATTAAAACTCCAAATTCGTCAAGTTCATTACCTCTATAATGTTCTCCTTCCAACATTACATATACCTTTATTATTTTTTCCGCAAATCCATTCTCTAATCCAAACGGTCCCAATCTCTTCACCTACGTACTCCACCTAGTCTACCATTAACCTATTTGAACCACACATTTTTACAAATTAACCTCAGTTAACTGATTTTTTTTTCCACACAGATCAAGATTTCAGTTAATCCAAAAAAAAAAAAAATAGTTTGACAAAAAAAATCACTATGTCAATCTACAAAAATTTACATCATGGCAAACGTTTGATCACCTCTAAGAAGAAGAGATTAGACTTGTCATGCAACAATCTAATACATTAGTGAGAATCGATACAACTCTTTTCTCAATAATTTCTAAGAGTTCAACAATTTGAGCATACCTCAAAAACACACATTACATCAGTCACAATTTCACCATTTATATATCAAGAAAAACAATCCAAGGCATGGTTAAAATTGCTGAGGAAACAAATTATGTCTCCAACTCTGACTCAGTTTGGGAGAAGATGTTAAAGATATTATTATAAAGAAAAGATTATCAAGAAAAGGAGTTCTTGTTTACCTTATGAGTTAGTTTTATAATAGATAAATACTGAAATGATACTTGTTGAATAGTTGACAGTTTTATTTTTTATTTTTTATTATTATCTAGTAGTGAAGAAAGTCTATAAATGTGACTTTTATCTCAGTCTTACAAACTTAATTTAATCACAATATAGTCCTTCAATTCATCTTCTTTTATAGTTTACTTATTGTTCTTAAAAGTTCATATTTTGCTTTCTCAAAAAGGTACTGCCGGAAGAATCCGATTTTGTTCGGCCAAATTGAATGTCTTAACCAATCAATTTAATTGGTTATATTTTTTAATTTGTTATATTTCTTCCTTGTTGTTAATGGATTCGTTCTTAAGTATCACGCCTCTATAGGGCTAGGGTTGAGAATGATCAGTTTTATAAGAGGAAGTTGATGAATTTTACAATGAAATGTTTACTCTGGAATTGGATTATGATTCATGAAAAAATCACAGACCTATACCAATGGGGACGAAGAGAACAATTCCCACTGGTCCAATTTTCTTTTGGGTGGTTCTGGATTTTGCGTATTTTAACAAGATGAAACTTTTCGTTAAAAGAAAAAAAGAAAAGAAAAAAGAGAGAAGAAGAAGAACACACATTTTCTTCTCTAATATTTCTCGTTCAGTTTGGCAAACTCACAATGTCTATTGATTGTTTGAAACTAGCAAATCAGTTTTGTGAATAGCAAATTGAAATAGCCGAGAGAGTGGAAAATTAAAAAATTCAAAATAAGTGCTCTAAAGGAGCTAATATTATGTGGAAGAGGAAGTGCATATTAGTAATCTCAATAACGATAACTTGAGATAGACATGCACTTGGGCTTATATAACCATACATGGTCCAAAACATAAAAATTTGCCTTATTTTCAATCTTAGTCCATTCAAACCATCACGGCAGAATTGAGTAATTTTTTTTTTTTTAAAAAAAGGTATACCTGTATTCAGTATAAAGTATTTATATTATTACATATTATAAATCAAATTATAAAGGTCATTAACATCAAATCTACTAACTTTAATCAGTTGGCAAAACTCAAACGTTGATATTAAATCTAACAATAACAAAATAATTTCCCGAGCCTCTGTCGGAACAAGCATATTTTGTAAATCTGTTGTTAACACTTTACAATCCGTATGCACTTTCACTCGACCTAGGCCAAATCGTGATGCTTCTCGAAGAGCCATGAGGCACGTCATAATATGCAATTGAATTCGCAGACAATTCACCAAAATTAATATGCAATAACGTTACATTAAGAATGAGGAGTGACTCAAACCTTGTCCATTAGTACCTCTAGAAGACTTGTTATGATGAACCCACTTATGAACTCCTAATTTTGCACCCAAGCTTGTCACTCTAGGCTTGTCTAGGGTGGTTTACACTGTGGTTTGCAGGCTATTACAGTGAGCGAGGGTTTACCAATCTCTGGTGAGATTCCCGGCGTTACCAAAAAAAAAAAAAAGAATTGCGGATGAAGTGTTGGTCCAATGTAAAATCACCCATGCTCACCCATGCTCTCAAGATGAGGTCGTGAGTTCAAACCCCACTCCAACAAGAGTGAGGGGTGGTTCCAACCTTGCACATTAACACATCTATAGAGTTTTTTATGAAATCCACACATGAACCACCAATTTCGCACCTGAGCTTGTAATTCCGAGCTTGCCTAGGGTGGTTTATCTTCCACTGTGATTTGCAGGTTATTGCAGTGAGCATGAGTTTACCTATCTTTGGTGGGGTTCCCGACTTTAGAAAAAAAAAAAAGTTACATAAAGAACCTAATTCAAAATAAACTATACTCCAGATTATTTGTAAATTGATGTAGTATTTCAGTGCATTTTTACTCTTGTTTTCACCACCTTGCCTCTTTTTTTGGTATGGTGTTTACTTTGGTGATCTAAATAAGGGGGTGATGAAAAATCATTAAGCAGAACCGGCAGGGTAATCTAACTCACATCCTGTTTTTTCTTGATTGCAAAAGGCCTTTTTTTGCAGAGGAGAGCAAACAGTCTTATCGTTGGAACCCTTTTGTGATCGGGTGAATAATAATTTACGATGGTTTTGTAAAAGAAGCAATAAAATACTCCAAAAAAATATCAGAAATCTTGTTTACTGTATCCTACACAGCATATCAAAAAAAAGAAAGAGTGTCTAGTATTCATTCTTCCTGCTAGTTTCTAACTGAATCTTGTACACAATTCAATTGAAAGAATAAATCACCCCATAAATAGAAACTGTTCATTTTTTTTAAGAAGCAAAATTTATAGCTACTCTCTTACAATGTAATTAGTAACAAATAATTTTTAACATATATTTTTTTACTTTTCTAATAGGCCCAGATTGTTCGTAAATTGATGTAAATTAGTGAATGTTAACACTTTTATGATCTGGTTTTCGAATTTATGCGGAGGGCGTTCCCTTTGATGATCTAAATATGTAGGGAAAATATAATTGAGCAACTGAACCGGCAAGGATATCAACTCCAATCCTGTTTTATCTTGTTTGCCAAAAGGCCATTTCAGCAGAGGATTAAGCATTATCAATAGGATCAAAATACTCTGGTGTTGTGGTAGAACTATGAGGGAAGCTATAAAATGCTCCAAAAAGAGATGGCAGAAATCTTTGTTTGCTTCGGTTACATCCCACAGAATACATCAAAAGACGCAAGAGTTTGTAGTATGCAGAATGCATCTTATTCAATTAAAAGTATGTACATTTATTCAATTGAATGTGACAAATGTTTGATGTAGTCTAATGAATTTTTATCCATATTTATCTGGTTTTTTCTAATTTAAACAGCGGGTTTTTGTTTGCTGACCAGATATGGTGCGATGAAACAATATACTTAAGCAAACTGAACCGGCAGGAGGACAATCTAACTCTAATCCCCTTCTTTTTGTTTACAAAATGCCCTTTCTCAGAGGATTAATTAGAGTGTCTACCGGTTTGAAATCGGATCAAAATAAACCGCTGATCTAAAAGATGCTAGAAAATGCTCCAAAATACAGGGAAAAATTTGAAGCTTAAACAAATTCGAATGCAAGAATGGATCAATGTCCCACCACCACTAAATTAAGATTTGTCTACAAATTCATTCATCCCAGAAACATAAGATCATGAACAAATAATTTTTATTCTTCAGTGTACAATAGCCTTATTTAGATACCAGTTTATTTTGTTCAGTACTTGCAATTCCACACTGATGTCTCAATAAAAGCAAAATCTTAGTCATAAATTATCAGCAATTTAGCAGAACACAATTACATCTAATATCTCGCAACATCCCGTTGAGCAAAGTTATCAAAGACAGCAAAGAGCTACTCATCTTCGACAACAATGACAATGCAAGCCTAACAGTAATTACTAGAGCTACTCAGCTCTTAAACATAAGGAGGAATCAAAATCGGGTAAGGAGGAAGCTTCAGAAGAAACAATCTTTCGCAGATTGATACACCTTCCGGTGAATTTTCACTCTCTTTGATCTAGGTTTCCAATTTAAACAGTGGATTGTGGGATGAAACATATGATTGAGCAACTAACGGAACCGGAAGGACATATTCTTGTTTGCAAAGGGGGCCTTTTTGGATTGGACAAAATACTTTCACGTCAGGCTTCCTAATACGTTTCAAAGTGATTGCCTTGTCTGAATCATTTCTGGGCAAAGAGATTACAAAGTGTTAAAAGATTTCCTGTTTCTTAATTTTTATTGGCTTTCTACTATGATACATCTACTTCTAATATGCGCAAAGTTTACAGGTATCTTCAAGTGTGTAACACAGAAGCCAATAGAATATAATACTTCAAGTGTGTATCAAATACAGATAAAAATACCAATAGGAAACTCCACTAAGAGAGTTGCCAACAACTTCCAATATAATAATCATCTTCAACCCGACAAAGATCAGAACAGGAACAAATTGGCTTTGTCAAATACACAACAGCCTACTTACAGTTAGATATACACCAGGTTTATCATCTAGCCAGTATTGCATTTGCTAACTGCAGGTGACTAAGTGAAAGCAGAATCTCAAACACAAAAAAAATTCAGCACTCACTACACTGACATCAATCACACTATGGATCCGTTGAGCAGAAATTGTGAAGCATCAAAGACAGCAAAAAGGATTAAATCAAAACTTTATGTGGTTTCTTGAGAGGTTCAGGTAACAAAACACAATCTAACGACTTGCCCTGAAACACGAAAGATGTACAACCATATGTATGTCAAAGAGATCACACTGCGGCCAAGATCTTCAAACTATTGGAAGGAGTTAGTAATAATAATTAGAAAAACAAGAAAGAATAGTTTTGAGGGAAAAAGTGAACCCCAAATTAGAATTCCATACATGAAAAAGCAAGCCTGAATGAAGTTCAAGAAAGGTCAAGGCTGAAGCAAATAAGTCCATACTATAAATAGAACGCAAAAGATGCATAGTTGCATACTCAGAAACAAACAGAAAATGTAACTAAATTCTGGAGTTCCTTAACCTGACATTCAACACCAATCAGCACTACGACTTCCTGACTGCTAATATCGATGAACAAACAACTTACTTACAGCAAATATTAATACACTTCGACTTCCTTACCGCTAATATGAGATACGATAAGGAGATCCATAAGTTTGAGTTTGGTAAGAAAAATGTAACCTCTCAAAGTCATAAGCATGACCACCAACATCCAACCGACTTCATTGCATACCGCCCTTTACTTTGAATCATCATCAATCATCATTCATCAGCTCTCTTAGACAACAGATGAGGTGAAATAAAAACAGGCCAAGGTGGAAGCTTCAGAAGAAACCAGCGGTATTCGCACAGGGTAGAAAAATCACCTTTCAGGGATGACCGTGGATCAAGTAGTTCCATACTCTGAGTTCCAACATGGTATGAAATCACTCCTGCATTCATCGACATATTCAAATACACAACATCTGGATTCCGCTGGTCGAATGATAGGAATGAAGAAGTCGAAAGACTTAGTCTGTTTGGCTCGGTTTTAAATTCGAAATCAAAATCAGGAACATGATCATCTTCCATCCTGATTGAATGCTGGAGGCCCCAGTGGTCATCCTCTTGGAGTTGCCATATCTTTAAAACCTCCCAGTGTCCGTTAGTCAAGCTCTTCAACTTTTCGAAATACTTGAGCCGTCCTTGATAAACACCACAACTAGAATATCCCCCAGAAAACCCCCCCGAGTACCCGAGGCTTGGAGGTTCAATCACGCGATGCTGGTTCGTGAAAGGATCATAGGCCAAGATTCCACCATTTACTGGGTCGGTCCAATACACCGTAGTGTTCAGAGAAACAGCTCGCTGCCAACGATAAAACATATACGGGCGCCCGATTTGCAACCGGACGGGTGCCCATGCCCCGATTTCGGAAGAGAAAACCTGGATATCAACGTAATCCGGAACGAAGGTACCTTCGATATTCTCAACCGTGAAATCAATTAAAGCGACTCTGTAACTATTCAGGAAACTTCCAGATTCATCCAATTGGGTCACGAAGCTCACACTCTCGATGACGAAAGGAGTGGGAGGAGAGGAAGGGAGACTAAACCACTGGTGGGTTATGGCACTGCAGACAAAGAACTCACCCAAGCATCTGTCTTGTTTCATACTGAGCCCAACTGTATCAACCCAGCCCACCAAAAGAAAGCCCTTGTCGTCTGCCACACTATAGAATGATCCTCCCCCAGTCCATGATTCTACCAAATCCAACATATTTCTTCTCGTTGCCTTCCTACTTGAACTTGATCCTTCCCATTCAAAAGGAACAGCTGGTAATGCAAATAAATGGCGTTCTGGATACTTGAGCCCGATTCCATCCCGATTGCCCTCTCGCCGTCGGACCCTCGTTGGGAAAAACACGAATCGGTCTTGTGGCGGCGAGGGCTGTTTGGAGAAATACGAACGGCGGAAAGAGGGATCTGAGATGAACGCAGCACACTTTTTCGAGACGCAATTGAATCTGAAAACATCCTCAACTGGAAGTCTGGATAACAACTCTGTTAGAAACCATTCTGGTAAATCACCACCCTGCAAGCCGCTGCCGGTGACAGTACCTGCCGTAACTCTTTCAATTTCCATCTTCAGAAACAGAAACGATGAGTAAGAATTGTGTACTCCCGACCAGCCTAACTTATATAGTAGGGTTCAGGGGATGGCTTTTTCTTGACCATTGGATTGGATTTCACAAGATAGGGTTTCCTAAAATTGATCCGGGTTCTTCTTGGACTTGCTATTAATTTTGTGAATGTTGGACACTAAATAGGCATGACCACGGTTCAGGTTTTAACCGGAACCGGAACGTCGGCTCATGTATCGGACCAAAATTTTGAGCGACGGTTCATCAAACCGTAATCAGACCATCTTTGTAAAGGGTCGCTTATGATTCAAGTATTCCAAAAATCGTAAAATAACAGTTTTAAAGTAATGGTTCAAACTGTTAGAAATCTCCCGTTAACTGTTGATTTTACTAAAATAAAATATAAACATACTAATTTATAAGTATAAAAATGTTGCTTATTATTAATTAAGAATAAGCTAGTTTTTTTATGTAATTTTTAATTATTTTGTTATATTAATGTTTTGTTGTTCGTGGATTGTCAATAGATGTTAAAAAAAATGTAATGATAATTCATCATTTTGATAAAGACTTATGCACTATGGTATATGACTTAATTTTGTTATTTAATAAAATCAAGAAAATACTCACAAGATATCGTCCTAAACATGTTTTGTGGATTTGAATACGTCCATTCTAAAAAACAAAGACAAAAATTTTAATATTAAATTTTTTTTTAAAAAAAAACACACAATTTTTTTAATATAAAAATTGGGTTAATACTGTACAAAATCGGATCAAAACCGTCAATAACCGAACTGAACTGAAACCAGAATCGATCTGAAACCGAACCTGAACCTAAGATTACGAACCTAATTAGTAAGGGTATACTTAAGGACCGGTTAAGGTTCATCCATTTCCTAAACCGCGAACCGGAACCGGTGGTTATGAACTGGTAGATGTCAAACCAGCAAATATATATATATATATATGTATATATATATATACTAGTGATGTCTGGTCGCGCAATGCGCGACCTTAGCCCAGTCTATCTGTAGATCTTAGAAATGTTTATATTTGAAAAAAAATAAAATTTTGTATTTGGAGCGATATATTTTAGAAACGTTTGAAAGATTTGGAAATTTTTTATAAGTGTAATCATAGAAATATTTGTATTTCGCAAAAAAAAAAATAAATTGTATTTCGCCATGTATGTTTTAGAAATGTTTTATAAGTGTTACTTATTAAATATAAATATATGTGTTGAAGTAAATGTTAGATAAAATATAAAAGCATCCTAATAAATTTAAATATTAGTAAGATGATTTATTGATGTTCTCCATTGGTCGTGCCAAATCAATACTTAGTTTTGGAGATTTTTAATAGCTTTGTAATAAGTTTCATCCGAAGGGTATACGCTTAAAACAAAATTGACACTTTGTAACAAAAAACCTAATTGATCAATTCAATTTAAAAAACCACTCTAGTTGAATGAAACATAAAGAAAAAATTTTAAAAAAAAAGTGTCACGTAAAGTGCAAAGGGAGATTTAGTAATTTAGTTATGGTTAGACAACAGGGCAATTTAGTATTTTATACATGCCACGTGGCAATCATATGAGGTGTTTGAAAGGGAGGTTTTTGTTTCTAATATAGTAGGATATATAACCTACTCCTAACACATTTGATAGTATAGTAGTGAGTAGGGTCGTCTCCTCGAGGAACAAGCAAGTGAAATTAAATCTAATTAAAAGCAAAGTAACCAAACAAGATTCGATTGATTGAATAATAACTATGAATTAAACTTGAGCAAATGAAATACGTATGCACTGATTATGAAAATATCAAATAAGAGAAAAGGTATTAAATTCACCTTGATCCAACAACTGATTCTTGATGCAAAAATAAATTAATGAAAATTACAAATAAATTGGTTATCCAATTTTAACCCCAAAAACTCAGGAAATATCCAATTTGGTCGTCCAAAACTGCAGTTGCCCTTCAAGTTTTATAAAATTATAGTTTGGTCCCTAAAATTTGTAGAAATCTTAGTATTGCCCCAAAACTTTATTAGTTTTGCAATTTAGGCCCTGATCAAAATTTTCACTTTGTTCTTCAACGTGATCACGTAACAAATAAATTTCACTTCTATCCACAAGCATAAATCTCTTCCATAAAAGCTTTTGAAAATCTCCAAAATTCAACATTTTTTCATCATTTTCGTCCAAAGCACCTTCTATGATCAAATTAAGCATAAAACATTAATATTAGCATACATACTACTCAAAGAACACATAAATAACCATAAATATCATGCTAATATCGACCTCATCATGAGCCGTGGTCATGGCTACTTGTAAGCGACCTTACCCATCAATAAAATAGGATTAATATCAAATATCCCCCTCAAAGTTTCGTCCAATATCTAAAACACCCTCATCCTTTGAAGAAATATCAAATACACCACTGGACCAACAAAACTTTAAAGTCAAACGACAATAATGATGAAATGACTTAAGTACCCCTCATTATTTTGTACTCTTTTCTCACCAGATTCATCGATCTCCTCTCTCATTCATCTTTAACAACTCTCTCTCTCTCTCTCTCTCTCTCTCTCTCTCTCTCTCTCATATTTTATTCATATATGTCATAGTTTTCCCACATATAGAGATGGTAGCAATAGAAGCAACCACATAAATACTAGTGCAACCTAAGGTGGCGCTTGCGAGGCATCATTATTCTGCCCAGTATAAGTATGTTTTCAAAGAATTTTAACATATAGTTGCGCGCTCAACAAGCTGGCAATAGGAAGGCCCAAAGTAATTAAACTACTAAGCATACATACACCACAATGCTTATAACACAATTCCACTCAATGATTGTGCCATCAAATTAATTATTTGGCCTTACTTGGAATACAAAAAACCATCAAGTGGACGAGAAAAGAAATACTCCCTCTGTCCCAAAATTATTGTCCAGATTGAGATTTAACTTTCAGTACAATTTGAACTAAAAATGAAAACTCAAACTGGACAATAATTATGAGACGGAGGGAGTACAATGTTACCATTGTGGAATATTTTAGAAATTTATGAAGCAAAAATATAATACAATCAAATAAGTCCTATCATCTAACTCGAGGATCTTGCATGAAGAATGACCGTACTGTAAGGATTTCAGCAAATTGGACAAGGCCTTATTGGACAGGTTATCTGCTGGAGAAGCACTCGAAATGGCAGCATGTTCATTCGGAAAAAGACCAAGAAAATGTTACAAACAAAAATTCAGATCATATATGGACGTACTACTCAAACCATTCCTGTAAATGAAACGATTTCATTCAATTTACATAAAAGATTTTTATTTTTTATTTTTCGGTTTCAATACAAATATGTTGTTTCACTTATAAGGGACACTACATAATAAGTATGAATATAGAATTTTATTTTTCTCTATAATAAAGAAAGAAGTAACTATTTTCTTTTTTGTTTTTAACCTTTTCTCTCTCTCTCTCTCTTCAAACCTGAGGGCAATTTCACGTCCACTATGTTAGATTCATCTTCAACTTCTGAAGCGTTGATCCACGTACCCATGATGGTAGGAAAATGGAGGAAGAGGGGAAAGGGAGTCTCAGAGGATATTGTTTAGCCGGAGGAGGATAGATGTGTAATCGGAAGTAGCACTTCATTGAAGAAGGTAACTAGCCATAATTTTGATCTGAAATCAATTGATATAAATTCTACTTCTCTTGAACAACTAAGCAGTCAGAAAATTGTTCAAATAGGAGTTTCATATGAAGTTCTTGTGGATTCGAACACAGAAAAATTCTGGAGCTAGGGCCTCTAATGTTTGGGGTAAATATGAATTGAAGAAATCACTAGGTCTGGAATGTAAATTGGAATATATTGAGCCTATTAGAGCCCAAGATAAAACCATTGCTAAAATTCAAAGAGAAGAAATCCAGCGGTATTCTTGGAGCACGCCCTCCATTTTACGTGGTTAAGGGATATCTAAGAAGAATTTAGGGGAAGTACGGGGTGGATAAAGTACTACTTATGGATATGTGGTTAGATTTCATTCTATAGCAAAAGAAGAAATCTTGAAACAAAGTTTCGTCAATTTCGATAACTGTACTTTGATAGTTAAAGATTAGTCTGTAGAAGAAGGTTTTAAGATTGAAGATGTCTGTAAGGTGCATATATGGGTCCATCTTCTCAAATTGCAGTTGAAATACTTGTATGCCAGATGTTGAATAGAATTACCAGGATTATTGAAAACCACTTGAAATGGATGAAAAGACCTCAATGAGAGATAGGACAGGATATGCTAGAGTCTTAGTGGAAATGGAGATTACAGAGAAAATGCCTGAATCGATATGGTTTGAAAATGAAAAAGGTATTCTACAAGAGCAAAAAAAAGTTAGATACGAGTGACAACTGGTACAGTGTAAGGAATACAGAAGGTACGGACATGAAACAACAAATGTAGAAAGCAGAGTATGAAAACCTGGGCTCAGAAAAACACAGTAAAATAGCAACCAAGGCTACAGGCTGAAAAAGAATGCGAGGATCATGTGACTGTAACCCAACGCAAATTGAAGTCTCCTGTTAAACTACATGCAGCTAAGTTTCTTCTCACGAAGGGCATCGTAGCAACCAGACACCGGAGAAAGGGAGTACAAGGATTAATAAATAGGGTCAAAACTGTACTATTCATCCTCAGAGAGATGGTAAACATATAATATCAAGGAAGGAATATAAAGATAGAGAGCATAATAATTATTAAAAACTCAGGATAGTGGTGAAAAACAACAACAATGAAACTAGTAACCCCTCTGAGGGGCCTGGTTATCATGAGTAATCTGATTTACTGAAACACAAAGAGGTGGAAAAATGCCTCTCTATTAATGGAGTTAGAATTGTTGGTTTGGTCAAAACTAAATTTAGTGGATCAAAGGTGCAAGAACTAATGACTAGAAAATGGAGTAAGTTTGAATATATATATATATATATATATATGTATATATGATAGCGATGTGTAGTGCGAAAGCACTTGCTCCAAGTAACAAACATATCAATCCAACTTGTGAAAGAACGCCTTGATTATAAAACTCCACCTTTCTAACAACTATGAACTCCACAATTAAAAGAAACACTTTTCAATT